CAGATCCTCCAAGTTCTCTTTTTGTGTGAGTCCACTTTATGCCTGTTTCCTCATTGTCCGTTGATGTCTGTCTCATTATCCAATCTACTGCAATCAGGAAGATCATTGGCGATAGTAGACAGCCAGCTGGCCTCACTACCGTCCTCACTTCTTAGGTTTCCGTAAGTTCCCCGTTGTGGATTACTTGGCATGCAGCATTGTCGTACAACTGTTGGATGAAATGTATAATCGAGAAGCCGGAGCTGTGTGTTCAAAAGAAGTTAGTCCAACCTCTACAACTACCATGGACCTAGCTTGGTATGTTCCCTATGTTTCCGTCTTTTTTTTTCTCTTCCTCGTCTGTTTTCGTTCTTGTTTTTTCCTTTAGAGCATTTTTCGTTCGCTGTGTGTCTGATTCTTAGTCCCTCAATCTTCGTTTAATCCACCTAATTTTTTTTCAGCTATAAAAACAGTTATTTTAAGTTTGTTTCCATGCTTTCCCTGTTCACATTTATAATTCGTTTGAAATAACTATTCTACAATTATATCTTAATATTGTGCAATTTTTGTGTTTCTAAGGCTTTTGTAATCTATATTCACACGCCCTAACTTTCATTTCAGGCTCAAATTATTTTTTCAGTTAAAAAAAACTAGTTATTTTAATTTTGTTTCCATACTCCTCCTGATCACACTTGTAATCCGTTTAAAATAACCATTCTACAATTATATTCTAATCCTGTGTAATTTTTTGTTTCTATGCCTCTTGTAATCTATATTCATACCTCCTAACTAACATGTCAAGTTGAAAATTTTGATTTCAATTTGTTTCCATGCTCATTTTGTTCACACCTGTAGTTCGTCCTATCCCTGCGTTTCTAAACCTCTTGTAATTCATATCAAGTCGAAAATAATTATCACCTTCGATTCGCCTTTAAAATTATTTCTCCAGTTATCAAATATTAATTTTTTGCATACGTTGTAACTATTTTCTAATCCTATGAAATCTTGTCTCTAAGCCTCTTGTAATCTATATTCGTACCTTCAAACTATCATATCAAGTTGAAAATTATTATCACCTTCGTTACTATGTGAAATTAAACAAATAATAATTCTATCCATGTTAAAATGTATAATTGTCGATGGGACCCCGCAGTAGCGAAGTAGTTTCCAAATCACCTCTCGATCGACGCTGAGCTTTCGAAGGCCTTTTTAAATTCGATGAAGTTGAGACAGAGAGGCGACTGCCATTCCAAGTTTTGTTCAATGCGCATCAGTTCGAGAGCGAACAATTGTGATTTCAATAGATGCTTCTTCTTCAGGTTTTACAATTATAAATCCATTAATTTAAGCATACAACAGTTAGCCAGACAGCCAGTAAAGACAAATTAGAATCATATCAGAATGTGCATTGTGGAACAAGTATAAGTAAGATGGATGGGATGGAACAACTACATCTTCTGTCAGTAGCTGAAGCGGTTGCAATTAATACCAGAAGACCATCTCTTTGTATTCAGAAGAAGTATGTTCAACCTCTATGTTTACCTTGGCCTAAAATAAGGCCAACAAATCCTCTATGAACATTAGCACTTTAAATTCCCTGTCACAATTTTCTTTTCTTTTCCTTCTTCTATTCCTCTGTTTCATTGACAAACGTTCATTTTCGACTTTTATGATTTCATGACCATTCTTATGACTTTATTACCTTAGGTTTAAGTAGTGCTTTTCCAACTTGCTATCGTATTTACAAAATCCTGTTCATTCCACTTCATTCTATTCATTATTATTGTTATTTGACAATCAGTCACCAATAGTACTTGTAATTTTACACCATATCATCGTTATTATTTCACAATCATTCTTATTCAAGTGTTGGTTTGTAGGGATTTGATTGGTTTACAGGATTTCATCATGAGCTGAAATTAGTTAGAGAGCCACTGGAAAACCATCTCGGAGTACTGGACAGCTGTTTCGTCCTAGTTTAGGACTCTTCATCAGTACACCCTCACACCATGGGGTTTAAACCCAGGACCTTCTGGTTATAAGGCGAGCTCGTAGACCACTAAGCCACTGCGACCCAATGGCCAGCCCATGAATTCTAACTTCTGACAATTCATGACATAGCGCGACCCCTAGCCAATGTCTTCGGCGAGTATTTGTCCTCACACCGGAGCTGCCGCACCCTACTGGTCACGACTTCTCACTAGAACCTCAGGTAACTACCTACCTGAATGGGGTAAGTCACTAGTGAGCATCTCATTGATATTCAAGTGTTGGTTTGTAGGGATTTGATTGGTTTACAGGATTTTATCATGAGCTAGGGATCGCGCTATGTCGTGAATTGTCAGAAGTTAGAATTCATGGGCTGGCCATTGGATCGGGTCCCAGTGGCTTAGTGGTCTACGAGCTAGCTGGCCAGCCTTGTAACCAGAAGGTCCTAGGTTCGAACCCCATGGTGTGAGGGTGTACTGATGAAGAGTCCTAAACTAGGACGAAACAGCTGTCCAGTACTCCGAGATGGTTTTCCAGTGGCTCTCTAACTAATTTCAGCTCATGATGAAATCCTGTAAACCAATCATTCTTATTGTCGTTATTTGCAACTTTGAACTTATATCTAGACCGCCGCATTCGTTGGTTTATTTTCATATTATCTCACACAGCCTGATTACACTCACTATCAAAACCTGTATATTCTGTTGACTGTACATATATCATTAAATTACTTTATCTCATATTGTCCCATGTTCTCATTGGCTAAGCATATTAAAAAACTGACTACTGTTCCATCCCATCTTACTTGTTCCACAATACACTTTCTGATATGATTCTAATTTGCCTGTACTGGCTTGGCTGGCTATTATATGCTTAAATTAATGGATTTATAATTGTAGAGCCTGAATAAGAAGAAGTTGTTGAAAACAATTGTTCGCTCTGAATATTTTGTTTTGAATGAATTATGGGAATATTCAGTCGGCAGCTAGCGCCATCTGACATAGATTACGTGTGCTAGTTGGCGTTCACCAATCAGTCAACAAGCCGCATATGCAGCCTTCTGAGATTCAAACCCGTATCACTACTTAGTGACACAGTCAGCGACAATACCACTGAGCTATTCGAGTCGAGGATTGACCTCCTATGGTGTTATATTCTTGCCTCTAACCATCTAATATTAACAATTTTCAGTGAATTACGACGTAATGGAGAACGGCCTAGTGGCATGATGGCCACATTGCATACTTGACTGATAGAATTTAGTCTGCACCAAGCAAAAGAACTATACACACACACACACACACACATTACACTGGTTACTAGCTAGTGTCCAATCAATGTACTAAAAATAATGTTTGACTAACTACTTTAAAATAAAATTGACAGTTAACATGGGAATTTTAGTTTTTATTCCTCTGCGTTCTCGAGTGAAACAGAGGACTTCAACAGAATGGTTGGGGTTACTAGCCTCACACTCAATTCTCCGTCTTTTCCAGCCCAATTAATAGTCAGTAAACTGGGCAAGGTTTAAGAGTACTTTGGCCACAAATAGAACCCGAACCCTACTTGTGGTTGGCGTGCACCATATAACTGAATAACTAACTCTATATGAGAATTACAAACAGACAAACAGATGAACAGCCAACCTCCTTGTGAGAACAATGTAACGGCTTTAATCACCACACACTTACCATCAGCACACATATGAAGGAAGCAGGAGAATATAGAAATGGACACTACAGAGAAAAGACATGAATTTAACAGAGTGGTATGAATTCACCAATGACACATTTATTTATTTTATTCCTGTACGTTCCCAGTGGAACATAGGGCGATCAGTTTGAGCCATATAACCAATTGTTTCCAACCATTGGTGTTTACCGTCCCGAGGACCCCAACCAGGAAGTCTACACCTTCCTATGTGGCTGGCTTAAACTAACTGTCATAGATTTCATCGACTGGTTCCAAGTTTTGGTTTGACCGCCGCTAGCTCCTTTCCAGCCTGACCCTATATTTGTTAACATTGTCCGTTAGTCGAGGAAGGAGATGACTAGGCATGTGTAACACATGTCCTAACCATCTCAATCGGTGTAACTTCTCATCCTCGTAGATTGATTTCCCCCTGTTTACCTAGAGCTCGATGCCTAACCTCAATATTGCTCACCTTATTATGCCACTTCATACGGGAGATAGAACGGAGGGACCTATGATCAAAGACAGCTAATCTTTTCATGTCTTCCACTCTGAATGGCCGCGTCTAACAGCTATAAAGGAGGACTGAGCGGACTGATGTGCAGTACACACCCCCTTTGGTCGATAGCCGGATATCAATAATATAGTAATATATATAATATCAAAGACAGCTAGCTGGCCCCTTTCATGTCTTCCACCTTCATTGGTCGTTCTGAGGTCGTATCACCTTATCACCTACAGGTCTCATCGTTCTCAATCGTATAGATGTAATCACTCTTTGTAATTGACTCTCATTTCCACTAAATACTCACGTTTTTTCCATGTGTTGGTATTTTTTCCGCCTCACATTTTTGCTTATTATCATAGGTTCCTTTGAATCTCCTGCTTCCTTCTTTTCTCTGCCTACGTGTGCTGCATGGAGTGTAGTAACTTGAACTGGTACACTTTCTATGGAAAGTTCTTTGTTGAAATCCAGTCAGTCAGACTAAACGTTGTGACCAGCATTTGAATCTATCTGAACAATTACACTGTGTATACATCTTAACTTGAATAACCAGATGCAGACGATGGTTCAGTGGTGCAACGCTCCTCCGTTACGCAGCGGGAGGTTCAGCTTCAATTACCTACCGACTCAGTCTCAAACCACGCCCAGTTTACTAGGCGGTAGGGAGTCTAGAAGGCGAGGGAAGGTTAAGCGTCAGGCTGGCAATCCTACCTCATACAGCCAACACCATCGGTACTGAAACTTCAGAACATGAAGCCCCCTATGTTCCAGTCAGAACACTGAATAGCGAAAACGAGAATATCAACGAGATAAAGGAGTGAACAATTCAACTTACCAACCGTTCCAAATAATTTAAATTGGCCATATTTTCATCCAAACTTTCTAGTTGATTATTAGCCAAGTCAAGAATGCTAAGATTTTGTAATTTTGTTATACTTGTAGGTAATTTCTTCAGTTGATTATAACTATAGATCATTAGAGTTTTGAAATAAACAAAAAAGAGACAAAAGAAGAACGATAAAAGAATTCAGCAAAAAGAATCAGAGAAAAACCTACAGAAAAAAGTAGTAGCGATGGGTCTCATCGACTTTATAACGGGTGAAACTGTGACTCAACTTCTAATCAGTGAGTCATGGGGGGTCATGGAAGTTGAAACCCGCTTCAATTACTGAAGAAGTTTGGACAGTCAGGTAGCCTCCCCCCATACATACACAATAAGTGTGGCTCGTCACCAACTTCACGGAGTTGTATAAGAGCCTACATAAAATTAAGCAAGGTAGAATGACACTTGAACAATAGGCAGGTCAACTGATAGTCAAGTGTATATATCAATCGATTACATATCCTGCGCAGCCAAAAGCTTTCCAGTGATTTACATCCCCTAGGCATTCTCATACAAAACTGAGCATTTAGCCAATCAGCAGATAACTACTCATGCAACACTATCGTGGTATGATGACGTCAGCTTGTGAAAGCTTACATCTTTCTGATATTCCATATATAACAATACATGTGTTTCAGTGGGAGGCAAACAAGATGATGAGGGTGACAGGGATAAAGGAGAATGGTGATCAGGAGGGCTCCCTCTAATTTTGGAAGTCTGTTGCGGTTGTTATCTCCCCTTGCTGCCTACACCATGGAAGTTGATTTTTTCTTCGGATTCCTGAAACAGAAAGAGAATTAATGTTGCGTGACTCCAGAGCCCAGACGACAACTACTTAAGACCAGTCACACACGGCCTGTATGAGATGGTTTCTTGGATTGGTTTCGTATTAGTATACTTACAGCTAGTCACGGACCAACTTTTCTAACCCCCTCTCACTAGCAGAGTAGAGAGACAACATAGGTGGCTAGCATGCTGGTCATCTGAGGGAAACACCTTAATACTGCTGCTACATTCCTATTCCCCAGCAGTACGACTTTGCCCACAGACCTCCAACATAGTGTAAAAACGAAATTCTTACACTATGCTAGTAACTGCTTTTAGTCCAGTCGCTGTCCTAATAATCTTCCTGGTATGGTAGGATCTGCAGGAACATTAGCTTCACCCAGTGTAGCTTGTTGGATCATTGCGATATACAAACCCGACAACCAAGTCAAGGTAGCAGCTGTCGGTCGGGTATGTTACAGTAAGCGATAGCTGGATATCAAGGTTGATCACGAACTGACTTCATGAAAGGCAAATATTATAAACTAGCAGGGAGTACTGGATAGATGTTTCGTCTCCGCCTTAAAATCTTCAACAGTACGCACCTATGACCCTACCATGGGTGAGGGGGGGGGCTGTAGGTTTACAATGTCTTCCAGAACTTAAATTAATTCATGATCAATCTTAAAATCAATCAAACAACTGCAAACTCATCACTTGAAAATAGCTAAGTATGCGCGAATCTGACGTTCAGGGGTGATAAAAGTTCATGACATCACCTTTGTTTGTTTGTTTGTTTATTCGACATTCCAATGTCCAACGTTGTCGACGTCGATTTACTGAACAAATCATTCGAAAAGATATTAACTGTTCTGATGAAGTCATGACCAGTAGGGTGCAGCAGGTCGGGTTTGAGGATAAACACTTGCCGAAGACATTGCCTAGGAGTCGCGCTATGTCGTGAATTGGCAGAAGTTAGAATTCATGGGCTGGCCATTAGATCGGGTCCCAGTGGCTTAGTGGTCTACGAGCTAGCTGGCCAGCCTTGTAACCAGAAGGTCCCAGGTTCGAACCCCGTGGTATGGGTGCATAGTGATGAAGAGTCCCAAACTAGGACGAAGCAGCTGTCCAGTACTCCCAGGTTCTCTAGTGGTTCTCTAACTAATGCCAACTCATGATGAAATCCTGTAACCAATCAAATCCCTACAAACCAACACTTAAAAATCATAACAATTTATTGATATAAAGGACGATTTTTAGGCATACAAGCAATGAATAATGTCCACATTAAGCTGTCGTATATTTTGCATTGCCAAGGCCTCAGGGATTCGGATGAAAAACTCTGACTTGTATGCACAGAAGAAACTTCTCTCCATTGCCCTCCTTCTACCCTGAGTATAATTTCTAATTCAACTATTTTGTGCATTTTTTGTATGACATTTAAGTGACATCGTTTGCTTAACTAAACCTTTATTTACTCTTTCTACTTATTACATAATTAATTTGGACACTTGTCTCCAAATTCTTTTTATTAACATCCTATTTTTCCGTACATCTTTCATATTACGTAACCCTGGTCAAGACTTACTAATATTGAACCCCCCTCCCTTAGTTACAGTTTGATTATTCATCACATTTTTTAAAATATTCTGACGACGTAAACAATGACCCCAGTGGCTCAATGGTCTACGAGCTAGCTCACCAGCCTTGTAACCAGAAGGTTCTGGGATCGAACCTCGTGATATGGGCGCGTACTGATGAAGACTTCCAAACTGGGCGGACGAAACAGCTGTCCAGTAATCGCAGCCGGTTTCCCAATGGTTCTCTAACGGATGTCAGCTCATAATAATGAAATCCTCCACGCAATCAAACAAAATCCCTACAAAACCAATAATTGGGAATTAATCTGATGCACCCTAGCGACTGGCCCTATTCAGGCAGTTAACCTGAGGTTCTAGTGGGAAGCCGTGACCAGTAGGGTACAGCAGGTTGACGAAGATGAGGCAGTAACTCATCGAAGAAGACATTGCGAAATGGTCACGCTATGTCATGAATTGTCAGAAGTTAGAATTCAAGGATCAGTGGCTTAATGGTCTACGAGCTAGCTCGCCAGCCTTTTAACCAGGAGGTCCTGGGTTCGGATCCCGTGGTGTGGGTGGATACTGATGAAGAAACCCAAACCAGGACGAAACGGCTGTCCAGTACTCTCTAACTGATATAAGCTCATGATGAAATCCTCCATGAAATAACCCCAACTATTTTTTTTGTTCTTGTTTGACAAACCTAAAGTACACACATATACAAAAAATATATACATATATAATTGCGATTGTACAGCTGGCTAAGTGAATGAATTCGCTGGCGAAAAGAGATTCTTTGCTGAACTGTTTGTTCTTATATCCATGTCTGCAATGCGTTATTTTGAGTGAATAATGTTCAGGTGAATGATAAATTAATTACGCGAAGACATTATTATTTAGTTACACAGTAAAGCTTATTCACTGCACAGTTACATAGAACATGAGACACTTAATATCATAACAAATATTTACTTCTTTAAATGAGGAGCAAAACGAAACAATTTACCTCAGCAGTAATGTTCTCAAGTTGACAAGATCTCCAATTTCATCAGGTAATTGCAACAACTGATTGTCATGCAGCTATTTTAAAATGAATGAATGAAAGAAAGAAAGAGAATTGGTTAAAACTCAGGGAATACGCATAATACGAAAGGTAAATCTCACTGATCGAATGCGCGTTTAACCTTACGCATATTATCCATAGATAGTCGGTGCTTCTATTTAGTTTAAAAAAGGTGTCAAGTCAACTGAAGCATCTCTAATAGGCCATTACTGACATTCGTCAACACCTGACTCCTTCACTCGGTACTGAGGATCAGACAACTAGCCGGAATCGATAAGCAGTATGGAACTCTGACAGGCAACAAACCAGACAAGAATCCACTACCGACTAAGTATACAAAAAGAAATGAGAACATACTGGATGTATGCTGAAGAAGCCTTCAGTGTGGTCAGAAACGCCAGGCTCTTGAAACGAACACGAATAAGAATCTGTGGTGAGAGCTGTCTACAAGCCAAAATTGTAGACAGCAATTTACGTCAATGTTTACGTCCCGAATCGGGGTCATGAGAAAAAACAACAACAAAGCTTAACCTTGAGGAACTCAACAAACAATCACAGCAGACTTAATGTGTGTAAATACGATTCACAGATATACGCCCTGACTTTCTAAGAAACCGTTACAGTCACAAGCAGTACAGTATAACCTTGAGCAAGGAAACAACCAACCAGAAAACATTTCTTTTCCGCTAACAATAACGCTGACAATAATGTACATAAAAATCTATAAATACCCCTTGATTTTCTCAATAAACGATCTGTTCCCAGGCGGTTGTCTTCTGTCGTTACAAATCGACGAACTGGATGTGTCTCTAAGGGTGACGTGGGGGAAGATCATGTGAATAGGGAAGTAAAGCGTATGGGCAGTTGGCGAGCCAGATAAAAGTGATGCTAGTGGACCCAGCAAAATGCATATGTTCCGGTGAGGCTATATCTTCCAGCTCAGAAAATAAGGAATGAATAGTTATTATAATAATAGAGATAAAATAAATACATTAGGAAGGAGAAGAAGACCAGTGACGATAACAGCCTTGCAAAATATGTACTGCAAGTATGTTTGTAGAACACATAGTGTAACAACAGAAGACAAGGGCCAGGCAACAGATCGTTTATTAAGGAAATCAACAGATATTTATAGATCTCCATGTACATTATTACAGCTTAATCAAGCAAGCAAACACACCCTTCTGATTGGTTGTTTCTCACAGACAGTTGACCTTGCATCTCTTTGTGACTGTTTCTTGAATGTCAGGTCATCATCTTATGTCAACTGTATCTGTTTACGCAAAGTCTGCTGTAATTAGATGTTGAATCAGTCTTGTTCACATTTTCTCACGACCAATATGTGCGATATAAACATTGACGTAAATTAATATCTACCAATTGGCTAACAGCCTGCTCTCACCACAATAGTACTGAAGTTTATCAGTGTTTATGTTAGTGTTGACAATCAATATAAAACCACAAGTAACTACAGTGTTAAAATCTTGTCAAGAATAAATGAATGAAAAAAACTAAAATCCACAAGTTATGCAGTTTACAGAGAAGTCAACAGTTAGGCAAAATTAGAGGAGTGAGACACATACATACACTAGTTACCGCTAACTAAATAATCGATATTTTAACTGTTTTTTGTTTTTGGCAGATGGAAAATCCATCGGAAATCTTATCAAACATCGAAATATTTATTACACACATTAAAAAAATAAGATTGTGAAATGCAATTAGTACAAAAACTTTTGCGGAGATGTGGCTTATGCATTCAGCTGTCTATCACTCAATAGGCCTCAGGTTTGAATCCCAACCCCACCTCCTACTTCAGCCTGAGCGATTCCATATTGCCATCAGTATTTTCGATAATTGTTTTTGGCTGACACCATAATAGTGTTGAGTTTACTCACTTTATTATCCAGTTCTAAGCCCCACCCCAGGGCGAAAAAAGAGGGAGGGTTGGGCAAAGGACTAGTCTTCAAAGAAGCCAGAGGTAAAGTCACACATAGTGAAAGATGGAACTATAAAGGACACCTTTACCGCAACAAAATACAGCAAAAATTGGGAGACATCACGGATAGAGGAACACTAGGACTCTCTGAAAGTGATTTTGAAGGGAACCTGAGTAGATGTCTTAACAAGGGAGAAAAGGCAAAATAAAAAAATGGTTTTCCTACGGACACATGTAAACTGGTACAGCAGAGGAGGAGACATAAAATGAACTGACGCAAAGATGGACAACGGAAGGAGAAGCTGAGGTCAACCTACAATGCAGTGAATATAGGAGTGATGAAGAGTGCCAAGAGAGACAACAGACAATTCTACGACACACTGGCACCTCAAGCAGTACAGGCCAGAGATAATCAGATCGTTATTTAGGAAGAGATCAGAACAGATAAAACCAATGAAAGATATTGAAAGAAATCTGACTACCAAAAAAGATCATTTCAAAAGACTCTCGAACAGGTCATCACCTGCACCTCGTCCAGACATATCAGCAATAACCACAGAACTGCCCGTGGGCACCAGTTCTCCATGAAAATAAGAAGTTTTGAATGTTATAACGTTACTGAAAGTCAACCTTGGAGGTAGAAGGACCAAACGGACCCCCTTACACACACCAGAAGCACTGAAAACGGAACCAGAGACATCAGCAGATATCCTCACGCCACTATTGTGCAAGGTTTGGAAGGAAGAGTAGGCACTTCTACAGACTGAAGGAAAGTCTGTCATGTGAAACTACGAAAGAGGAGTAACTTAAGACTTCCCCGAAATTTGCCACAGAATCAAGCTCCTGTACACTTTAAGCAAAATATGAAAGAATGAAAGATTCTCCGGAAGTAAAATTCTACCTGAAACAAGTTGGATTCAGGTAAAGTAAATCATGTACTGACCAAATTGCAATGCTATGCCTCATAATCGAACAAAGTGTAGAGTGGTAGTCAAATCCCTGTTTCAAATTTATCGACTCTGAAAAGGTCTTCAACAGCGTTGATCGTGAAGTAATCTGGAATAGTTTTCAAGGCTACAGATTGTTTCAAAAATTTATCAACCTCATAAAAGAGGATAAAGCATAGTTATCAAATCAGAAGTTAATTTAAAACTATTTATTTTTTTATTTAAACGCATAAAAACTTGGTACAATATGGCACCAAGAAGGATGCGCCACACAATAATAATAAAACAACATAGATCAAAAGAAAAACAGAAAGAAAAAAATATATATATAAGTAGAGGACAGATAAAGAACTTCATCTGGAAGGAAAACAGTCATGCTTAACAAGTTCAAACAGTATTCGTTAACTATCATCGGGAAGGGAAGAAAGAAGGAAATTGCAACACGTGTAATAGCACGCGATAAGTTTCCTTGATTGTTTGTTGCTTTACTCAATTCATTGTGTGAGGGCTGAGATACTACTGCCCGGGTGCCCAGACTGAAGTAGGTGGTTTTCTTAAGGGACTACCCCCCCAGCGAGCCTTTGACTTGCAGTCTAATCCGCAAGGCAGCGGAGCAGCGTCAGGAGCTGCATTCCCATGGTTTCCGGTGACGACCCATATGGGTTCATACGCCATTTGATCCGATTGGATACTGTAGCCCATGTATTCCATGGCAACTGCTTTTAGTTTAACCGCTATCCAAACAACCTTCCTGACATGGTAGGACCTGCAGGGACAGAATCCCAGTCAGTTTAGCATGTTGGGTCATTACGGTATTCAAGCCCGACCAACACGACAAGGTAGCAGCTATCGGCTGGGATTTGAACATTATATTTCTTGTTGTTTGATGTAAGGTGAAATCACACGCTCAGTGATTGTTTATCGAACACCCTGGCTTACATATCTTGCCTTCTGTTGTTACAATAGCACATCCATCCTGGATGGTATCAAAACAAAGTTTACCAAGGAAGATTCAGTGCGATGATGAATTTCGATAAAGAAAGGTAGACGAAATTTGCAGTATAAAATGTGATATCACCCATCCTGTTTCACAGGTTCTCATCAGCTGCCAATGACTACCTGAAATTACAATGGCTATATATATATATATATATATATATATATATATATATATATAGATGATAATAAAATACTTTAATGTTTAAATGGTAGTAGAGAAGAAATACTATAAAAATGACGCATCCAAAATCTAAGCATTACAATTTTTAGTTTAAGTTTACATCATCAATTTATACGCTTTCAAAGTTGAAAAGAGGGGGGAGTGGTAAGACAGAAAATAGAAGAAAAATAACCAACAATGTTAGCTTGCAGGTTCACATAGCAACTGAAAAAACAAAAGCGGTTACAGTTTATAAGATTGAGATTTGCTCACTGAGTTGAGATCACTGAATCAGATAACTAATTAATGTAATCAAAATCAATATTCAGTTACCAAGGGAGTGAGAGGGAGGTTAATCACACTCTCTTTATGAATGCATAAGTCTACTTGGTTTGAATAGTTTAATTGAGATCGCTTCGGCAAATCGTAGTAAATTTACTGTCCTTTGTCTATGTAACAAAATATTTTGAAGGACTTAGAAATCTCTACGAGACGACTAGTATCAACAATATGTCTAGTAATTGCACTGTGAGGATATTTGCTTCCTTTCAAGCACAGGTTTCTTGGAAAATATGTTTAGAAAGCCGGATAGAAGTCTTTCTTTCTGTCCTTCCAATGTAATTGCTCCCGCAAGTGCACGTCACCCTGCAACTGCGTTTATGAATTTACTCTCTTGGTAATATGTTTCACAATAGAGGAGCTAGGTCACCTGTTTACACCATTCATGGGTTCTGGTGATTCTATTTGCTTCTGAAGCTATATTTAGGAATATGTTCTGAGGCCAGCTCTTACTTGCAGAGATCGACGAATCCTCTCTATGAATGTGTGTGTATGTGTGTCCACACGTACATTCAAACTGGTGAATTCGGACAAATTAATAGAAAGGCATAATGAGAAGAAAAATGAGTACTTCTAAAGGCTGACAAACAAAAAAAAAACAACTTACATCCAGATAAGTCAGTGTATCCAACTTGTTTATGCCACCTTCAATTGTAGTCAGTTGATTCGTAGCTAAATTCAACTTTGTAATTGGTTGTGTCTCCCACCAACGATAATCATCTCCAGCGTTAATTTCAAAATTAACCGTCTGATTACTTTGTTCAAGTGGTAAAGGTGTATTCAACTCCCAAACTATACTTGGTACTGAATAGAAAAAAAGGAAAGAAAAGAAAAAAAACCATTAACCTAGACAGAATTATAACACAACACAGAAGGCAAGACACACAAGCCAAAGCATATTATTATCTACTGATCTACTTAATCAAGCGAACAACCACAGGGGAATTAGAAACTCAAGTTTATAGAAAATCAACCCACACAGACCAAATCCTGAATTACAACAGCAACAATCTAATAACACAAAAAAGAAGTTACATAAAAATATAATTCAAGAGACCAAGGACTCATTGCAGCACTCCCACATTTTTTACCGTCCCGAGGACCCGAACCAGGAAGTCTACACCTTCCTACGTCGCTGGCTTAAACTAACTGTCGTAGATTTCATTGACTGGTTCCAAGTTTTTGTTTGACCGCCGCTAGCTCCTTTCCAGCCTGACCCTATGTCAGCTAACATTGCCCGTCGAGGAAGGCGATGACTAGGCATACGTAACGCATGTCCTAACCATCTCAGCCGATGTAACTTCACAGCCTCGTCGATTGATTTCCCCTGTTTACCTAGAGCTCGACGCCTAACCTCAATATTGCTCACCTTATTATGCCACTTCACACGGGTAATAGAACGGAGGGACCTATGATCAAAGACAGCTAATCTTTTCATATCTTTCACTCTCAGTGGCCAGGTTTTACAGCCATAAAGGAGGACGGAGCGGACTGATGAGCAGTACACCCACCCTTTGGTCGATAGTCGAATATCTCGTCTACGCCAGAGGCGGCGTAAACTGGCGTGTGCGAAACTAGCCCTCTGTATCCGTGCTTAGATTTCGTCAGAGATCAACCCGTTGGTATCGGCTGATGGTACTTCCTAATTAAGTGAAGCGGTCAACGTGCTACACTAACCACTTCACTCCGTATTTCTAGATTAGGAGTCAGTGTGGTCCAGTCCTGTAACATCATCTTGCATTTGGCGGGAGCGAATCGCATACCCAACATTCGTAGATCGCAGCTCAAGGTGTTTAGAAGACTCTGCTGGATTTTGTCAGCATCCTCGCTTAGAAGAGAGGACTATATCGTCTGTATATTCTAAGTCAACGAGATTATTTCCTGGTAACAACTCAATCCCTGAGTCGCTGAAGTCACTTAGGGTTATGTCCATTAGTACATCTATGATGAAATTAAACAGAATTGGGGACAGTGGGCATCCATGACGGACACCACTAGTCGTCACCACTTCAGGTGACAACTCACTGTAATCCCTCACCTGGCTAACTGCATGAGTTCGAGTATATTGAGTGCCTTGATCAGTGCAATGTATTTTCTCGGCATTCCCTTTACAGCCAAGAATCTCCAGAGAACTTCTTGGTCGACAGAGTCGACTGGGACAATGTTCACATACTAGACAGAGGAAACAACAAGAATGCTAGAGAATATTTAGAAGCCTGCCTGGCACTCCAGTGAATCATCAATCAATAGACACATAGAAATAGACAAAATTCATCAACCGATAAGAAATAAACTTCACACACAAAAGGTCAAAGTTCAAGCCAAAGAAACAATCAGCTCCAATACAAGTAACCTAGATGGTATGAAAACACACAAAAACAACCAATCACGTCCAAGGTCACTAGGAGGGATGATTAATAAACTCGTGGAGAAATCTATAAGCTCACTTCAAACTGAAGTATGCGCTGAAGATGTCACCCAGAAGGGTGATGAAAGCTTCGCAAATCAACCATCCAGCTCAGAGAACACAACCACATCAAAAACTGATCAAACCTCTGTTCATGTATCTATACAGTTTATAATCTTTAACCAGTCACCAAACACATGATTTTGGTTTACGTTAAACAACATGGAGTAGAATGTTCAAATATGCCTATATAGCATCCTGCTGTGTCGGTGGCATAGCAGCTAGGACACTCGCCGACCATGCACATAGTCCGGGGTTCGATCCCCGCCCGTCTGACTCACTTCTTTACCTCGCTAAGCCAGAAATAATGCTGGTAAAGAGGAAAGGTTGGGCATGAGACTGGCAGCCCTATCCTGTAAAATAAACGCTGCTACAGAAACTTAAAGCCACTAGCTTGAAGGCACCCTATGTTCCACAGGGGAACGTGAAAGAAAAAAAAATCCGCTGCTAATACAGTGTTGAACTGTGGGAATAATATGTGAGAATAATATTCCGTTGGCAAACATTGTCTCTATCACACCACCACAGAATAAGGTTTAAAAAACATTAAAGGAAGGGTATGCGAAGTTGTATTCCAGAACACACTTGATCGACTCCTGCCACTCTACCAACTCTGAACACGATTTTAAGATCATTATTTATTGAATCCAGGCTTTAGACCAGGAAGAGGGTATATTGATCATATCTTCACCCTTCGACAGATTCTAGAACATAGACATTCCTACTTACCGGCATCAAACAATCATTATATTTCTTGACCTAAAGGTGGTATTCGATTCTGTCGACCGAGGGGTACTCTGGCGATGCTTGGCTGTAAAGGAAATGCCGAGAAAATACATTGCACTGATCAAGACACTTTACTCGAACTCATGCAGCCAGGGGTGAGAGCTTACGAATTTTCATCTGAATCGGTGACAACCAGTGGTGTCTGTCATGGATGCCCACTGTCCCCAATTCTGTTTAATTTCATCATAGATGTACTAATGGACATAACCCTAAGTGACTTCAGCGACTCAGGGATTGAGTTGTTACCAGGAAATAATCTCGTTGACTTAGAATATGCAGACGACATAGTCCTACTAGGTGAGGACGCTGACAAATTCCAACAAAGTCTTCTGAACAGCAACAGTCTTCGAATGTTTGGTATGCGATTCGCTCTCGTCAAGTGCAAGATGAGGTTAGAGGACTCAATTATGTCGACTCCCAGCTTAAGGATAGGCAGCAGTGAAATGGCAGAGCATCTTGACTACTTCACTTATTTGGGAAGTTGCATCAGCCAGCCCCAACCGGTTGATCTCCGACGAAATCTCAACACGGATGCAGGCTTGTTTGGCATATGCCCGCCAACTTAATCCATCTCTGGCTTAGTAGACGTGATATCCAGCTGGCTGTCGACCAAAAGACATGTGTAATGCTCAGCAGTTCGTCCTGTCTTCCCTTATGGCTGGCTGTGAGATATGACCATTGAAAATGGAAGACATGAAAAGGGCGGCTAGCTGTTTTTGATCATATGTGCCTGCGAATTATCTCCCATGTCAGGTGGTGGTGTAATAAGGTGAGCAATGTTGAGGTTAGGCATCGGTTGATGAGTGAGTACTAGGTAAGGAGGGGAAATCAATCGACGAGGTTGTGAAGTTACACCGATTGAGTTGGTTAGGATATGTGTTACGCATACATACCTAGCCGTCACCTTCCTCGACGGAAAATGTTAGCTGACGTAAGATCTGTTTGTAAAAGAGCTAGCACATAGTGGTCACACCAAAATATGGCTTCACCAGTCAATGAAATCCACAACGGTTAGTTTAACCCAGCCAGCCAGTCACGTAGGGAGGTGTTGACTTCCTGACTGGTTGGGGTCCTCAGGATGGTAAAAACCAATGAAGACTGGAGAAAATTGGTGATATGGCTTGAAATCTCTCTTAATGACTGGTGCAGATGCATCTACTCCCTGTGATTTATCATATCCAAGAAAACTCTACTGTTATTCCATATTACTATTCTTTTTGCCTCATATTTCTGTTTATAATCTCTCTTTTGAACCTCTCTTTACTCTCTTCTTTTGCTTTGTGTGCTACATGGAGAGAGAGTGGCAACTCGAACTGCTGCACAGCTGTACAGAGTTCTATGTTGAAAACAGTCAGTCAGTCATTTAGCTAGTGTCCATATTTAACTATATGACACTCTAATTAGAGACCCTAATATGTTATATGGATCATAATATTTCATTACAGTAGTTCGGTCACAGTTCATTTACGTCTCAACTGGAATATCACACTTATTTATAAAGTTCACATCTAGGCGGACATTTTAGGAACTTCACATTTTTATCCTTCACCCCCTCCTTTCTAACGCCTATTTATATTCGACATGAAGTTATTGCGTACATGCGGTAATGTTACAATCAACTTGTTAATAATTTAATATATATCTCAATAACCGTTTAATACCTGAAAGAATATCAACAAACAACGTATGTCCTTTGATAATAATTTACTCACCAAATTGAAGTTGTCTATCAGACAGATTAAGTGATCCAGATTTTTGAGCAGTACGATAAAGCTTCCTGTAAACAGAAGTACCGTCCCTTCAAAAATGAATGGGTTGTGAAATGAAAATGATGAACAAATGTAAATATGTATGCATGAATTAAATCAAGGTTAGCATAATTTTCCAATTTAACACGGTGGATAAGAAAAATGTGTTATTTCTTAAGGCAACACTATATTACGAATGTTGACATGCGGGATGGTAATGCGATGGACTGCAACAGAAACTGTCCCCCAATATCTTGAGTTGAGTTTTTATCTTTCTACAGTGTGGTAAATATGTCCACACATTCTAGACTATGGGGTAGTTATGCTGCTACTTTTATGCAAAACCCTACGAAATATGTCACTTTGAACTAATGCGAATTTGCACAAGGGTTCTACGTTGATTAGTCTTAGTTAGTTAGTCAAAACCTTGATAAATTGAGGAGGGAGTAACATCCGAAACCAAGTAGTTGATAGGTAATTCATTGCACATATCTAAACTTTTGACGGAATGTTTTTTCTCATGTTAATACACTAGACACAGATACGATGTCAACTTAATTATTATTGTTGTAAAATGAAGTCAATCAACTATATTTGCTGAAATCTAACCCTAAAAGTTGTGGATCTGTCAATACTTTGCCAATAAGGTTTTCTACTAAAGGATTTGCAAAGTTCACTGTTCTGTGGAATGACACAGTTATTCGATTCCTCGCAGCGGTTCAAGTGATATCTTGTTATACAAATATGACATTGCCAGAGAGCTGACTGGAACCACAGCCCAGGTGTTCAACTATTGTTGAGTCCTGAATTGTGACATAAAAGCTATTCACTTCTAGGATATTAACTCTCGGTTTATTCAGATGCTTGAAAAGCAACGAGATACACGTCATATTTACGACCAGAATTATCTGATTCTAGGCAAGTTTGTCGAAAAAAGCACTGAATAACGTGGTGCCAACGATTTCTATTAACAGGAAAAGGGATAAACCAAATGTCATCATACAACATAGCCTGTGTGAATTAAACACCGTACATTCCCACTATCATCAATTCTGTTAAAACTACCTATCCCAGTGTGGTAAAGATTGCCTAAATAAACTGCAAGCGCAAGCAGTTTATGGATTAGGTGAACAGCGCACACTTCAATCAATATATGTTGTGAAAACAAAATCCCTTTCATAAGTGGCATAGCATATGCCCCACATACCGCATGCAGTTCTCATGGGCTGCAACTAAAGAAAAACGGGCATCCAGGCACACGAAAATGTTTAACCTCAGAATCCGTAAGTGGTTTTTGTTTTTATTGTATTTCTAGGTACTGTTGGCACTTTCCAACAGCAAGAATATGCTAACAAACACATTACAATGCAGAAACGTCGAGGCGTCAATTCACAACAGTCGTGACGGGTCCAAGACAAGAATGAGGAGACGACGATGGTCTCGGTTGATGTGTCAACAGTTCTCGTTCCCAATACTTTCTGAGCATTACGGAACTAGACAAGGAAAACGCGGAGTATGCAGAAGTCACAAGATTGTCGACTTCATATGACTGCAATGACCTTTGACCTGTTTGTAATGTACACACATTGTAAGTACATTTTGAATTATTTATAACACTGTCTTTTCATCTTCACTGGTTTGTGAGGTCACAAGTCTTTGGGTTGACAGAAGAATGTTTTTTATGTGACAATTGTCACACAAAAGGTATTTCATACGTATGGGTACAGAGTTAGCGTCTACTGGAGAAACTTCAGGGTGGGATTCAGGCCCGTTGCAGAATAATGCTCAAACTAAAGGGTAGACCGTCTCACATTCAGTAATGCGCCCTTAGTTTTCTGTCACAAAATTTCCGCAATGGACACGAACAAAGTGCTCACTGGGATGACTGGAGAATCTGACCTGGATTAATCTGTTCGTGACTGTGTTCTGAAGCTAGTCGGCTTTAGTTTGAAAAACAGGGTTCAACGTAGAAAAAAACTGTAGTAATTAAAGATCAACATGCAGATATTCATAAATTGGCATATATATGTGCCCAAGCACATAACGCCACCCTCTAATGAATGGCCTACTTATCGAATCAGGTGTTTAGAAACTCCACGAGACAAGTCGAATCGTTGGTTAAAACCACATCACCTCCGCGTCCTGTGGGCTCTTACAATTTAGCTTGACCCGAATATATATTCACGTCATATGGCATGTTAACCCAGCTAGCATTTTCTTTGGGCGCAGACTGCAGATCACTGTCCTACGTTCTGCAACGCGCCCAATGATTTTGCGCCGACGATTCTGCAGTGCGCCTCAAGAAAATGCTAGGTGAGGCGTTTTGCAGAATTTGGGAGAGTGATCCATAGTTTGCCCCAAACATTCTGCAATGGACTGGAAATCTGCCTCAAACATCGATGCTGACCGAGCAGCACATAGGCATCAATATAGATGCCATTGCAATGAAATTCAGATTTATTGGTTGAGGATAGAAGGCTTGCAGCCTATGTTAATCCTTTTCTAGTAGATTTCTGTGGTTGTCTAAACCCTTCTTGAACGAATCAGTTGAGGTTGCAGACACCACTTCTTCTGGGAGTCGGTTCCAAGAGTTTATGACTCGATGTGAGAACCAGTACTCAACAGCAATATGATTTCTCCTTGGCTTTTGAACTTTCCTGCTATGTCCTCTAAGGTGTTCCGACCTGGTGGGAAGGAAAAGAGAGAATAGGTCAGGTCCGTAGTCATTATTCAAAATTTGAAACATTGTGATTAAATCTCCTTTCTGCCTACGGTATGACAGTGAGAAGAGATTTAAACTATCTAGTCTTTTCTCGTATGATAAGTTAGCTATGCCGTGAACCATACGTGTTGCCTTCCTTTGAACACTTTCTAGAATGTGTGAATCCCCTTTTAGACAAGGACTGGCGGCCTGGATGCAGTTTTCCAGTCTTGACCTAACCAGAGATGTGTATAAGGAGGTGAACATATCCCTGGTAATTCTTGTAAAGGCTCTGCGAATCGCCCATAAGGACCTGCAACTACGTGCAGCCACCGCGCGACAGTGTGCTGTAGTTTTTAAGTTGTGGCTAACTATGACACCTAAGTCCAAGTGAGTCTGAACTGATGGAAGTGTTATTCCCTCTAATTCGTAGGGGCTTGTGCTTGATTGTCCAATGCGCATGGTTGCACATTTTGCCACATTGATCGGGAGCATCCATTCAACAGACCACTCCGTCAATTTGTTGAGGTCCTCTTGCAACGTGAACGTATCACTGTTGTTCTTCAGCTCTCTCCAAATTTTTAATTCATCTGCGTATAGGACCACAGGGGAGTCGGTGAGCAGAGGTAACTCATTGATATACAGAATAAAAAGGAGAGGACCGAGAACCGTGCCTTGTGGCACTCCGCTACTTACTGCTGTCCAGGAGGAGAGTTTTGAGTTGATCCTAACCCTCTGCCTCCTATCTGTGAGGAATTCCCTGAGCCAGTCTAGTAGTCTGCCTTTGATACCAAGACTTTCCAATTTCATGAGTAGTCTTTTGTGAGGTACTTTATCAAAGGCTATGCTGAAGTCTATGAAGACGACGTCAACGGGTCTTCTGTTGTCCTTTGATTTGACCCAGCTTTCTCTTGCAGTCAGGAGATTTGACAGGCATGAGAGGTTCCTCCGGAAGCCATGCTGTGCTCCAGATAACAAGCTGCCATTTTCCAGATAAGCCATGATGCTTTTCTTGATAATTCTTTCCAGTGTCTTGATTATAGTGCTGGTGAGACTGATAGGCCTATAATTTGAAGGGCTTTATCGTGATCCTCCTTTGTGTATGGGGTTACTATGGCGTTTTCCAATCACGTGGCAACAATCCATTTAGGAGAGATAGCTTGAAGATCGTGGTCAAGGGGCCGGCTATGTGGGCTGATAGCTCCTTGAGAAGCCTTGGATGAAGATTGTCAGGACCCATTGATTTCCCTGCATCTAGTTTCATTAAGCAGTTTAGCACGATGCCTTGGTCGATGTCAACGGAATCTATCCCATGTTCTTCTGATGCAGCCAGAGATGATCCTATAGGCACTGAGGACTCCTGAGTGAAGACTTGGGAGAAGTAGTTTGCCATTGCTTCTGCTTTTTCTTGATCTTCTTCGATTGTATCTTTGTCAATAATCAGGTTTGGGACACCATTGGGTGTTTTATTCCTGGTTTTTGGCCCTTGCTGCCGTTGCTGTGAACTTGAAAGTGAGCACAGCATGGTCACTTCTTCCTAACGGAGGAAGATGTTGTATGAGATCCACATCCTCACCGTGGGAGAACACTAGGTCCAGAGTTGACGAGGAGTGCTGTGAGTTATAGCGCGTGGGCTTAATGATATGTTGGACTAGGGCCAGCGATATACTAGATTCTAGCAGTTTATGATCAAAGAAGTTGACTGAAGATGGAGTTGTTGGGCTCGACCAGTCAACTGTTGGGGCGTTGAAGTCACCGACTACGAGACTTCGACATTTTGAAGTCCAGGAGCCTAGCTTCTCTATTAGGAAGTCGTCTGCACTGCAGTCAGGACTGCGGTACACAGCAATGAGGTCAATGTCTTGGCCAATGCATTTACGTCTGCAGCGCAGAAGTTCGCACGACTCACTTTCGTGGGCGAGTGCTTCGATACTACGCACGGTTGCCTTTCTTGAGGTAGATAACTACGCCACCTCCTTTGCGGTTTAGTCGGTCTACCCTGTGCGCTTCAAAGTTTGGCAGGTTAACTTCGTTGTCAGTGACATCGGGTGTGAGCCATGTCTCTGTGATTATAATTACATCCGGGTTTCCGGTTTCTATCATGTTAACCAGCTCAGTCCTTTTATTTAACAGGGTGCGGGCGTTTGTGTAGCAGACTGTTAATTCAGACTGGTGCTTCCCCGGCCCACCCACAGAGGTTTCGGGATCATTAAACTGCGAACTCGGACAACCCGAAAACCCTTAATCTTAAGGTTCTTCTCACCGTTCCGGCGTCTCTCACTTAATTTTAGTGCCGCAGCCTGTCTTTTGACACGGTGTGCTAGGCTTAAGTCGGCGCGGACATATATCCCTGATCCTTTGAGAATATGAGAGTTGCTTAGAATAGCATCCCTCTCTGCTTTAGAGTTTAGTACGACTTTGAGGAGACGTACAGGTTCACTCACTGTAGGGTCAGGCTTTTGGCCTATTCTGTATACGCTGTGTATAGTAATGCCTGATACTGTTTGTGGCAGTAGCTTGTCTAAAAGGGGCTTGACCAAGTTAAGGTCATGCTCGAATCTGGTCTTAGGGTCGAGGGCCAGTGACTCCACTTTGTGGAGAATAAGAGACCTGTCAGAGAGATCGGGTTTGCTTTCCGTGACTTCCTTGCCCTGAGGCGTAAGTGTGTTTCTATCCTTCTTGGGCGGTGTAGCCGAAGTGTTATCCTTATCTCGCTTTTTGCGAGAGACTACAGTGCGCCATTCATTGGCGTCCTCCTCGCTAGTCGTAATGGGGTTTGTCTGCCTGCTGCTCACCGATGTGGATGAGGCTTGTTCCGCCAGTCCCTGGGCGACCGGAGCTGCAGGTTTTCGACCACTGGTACGCCTCTTCTTCGCGGCAGTCTTTCCATTACTGTCACTGGAGGGCTTATCCAGTATCGTGGGGGCGACCTGGGAGTCTGGAATGTGGTGGGTGTTCTTCTGTGCTGTAGAGCACTCACTTATTGGCAAGGTCGCATCGGGGACATGTGCTGTTTTGTCAATGACGCTAGTCACGTCATCGTTATCTGAGCAATAGTCGGTATTCTTCTGTGGTGGAGGACGCTTGCAGTCCATGAGCTTTAAAGCACCACTAAGAGTAGCAATGGCTTCTGTAATACGGAGTTTAGTTGTACTACAGCAGTCATAGCAGGTTGTCGAAATCAAACTAATTCATAAATAGATTAATTTAACTAATCTGGAAAGTTACTGGGTAGTAATTTGAATACCGGTGGTGAATTAACGAGGACTTACATATCTTTGAACTAGGGATAAGCAATTTCGTCACGGTGATCAGTTTTCGCGCAGACACAAATTTTACAAGTGCGTTTGAAAATGATCAATTTCCAATATCTCTCTTGAAAGCTTTATGTACTTTGCCTATCAAATGGTCCTGTGTGTTGTTAAACAATATCATTAAAGTTACAAATTTCAGTCGCTGTGCTTTTTTAATCTGTGGTAGTAGATGTTGTTCGACAGTCATATCAAGGCAGCAAGCTTCAGAGCTAAGAATATAAAGATGAATATTCATTGTTTTATGTTGGCATATGTGGCTTATTTCTTCAGAAATTCCTCATCCCTACTATAATTTTAATGAAGCCTACTAAAACTGGTGTGTTTGTGAGATATGTTATATCATCATCCATGATTTCCATGCACTTATATATTGTTGACAAAGTGACTGCAAAATTTCTTTTTTTTACAGTTTACAATTTATTTAGGATAGTAGGCTATATGCCTGTGTTAATCCTTTCGATTTATTGCATACAGGAGGTCCAATTGCGCCTTGAATGAATCAACGGATGGCGCTGATACGACGTGTTCCGGTAGGGAGTTCCAATGGTTCACAATTCGATGCGAAAAACGGATCTCCAGACGCAGACGATTCGACCGTGGCTTTTGAACCTTGAGGTGATGTCCTCGCAATTGGTTGGTGCTAGAAGGAAGAAATAATTTAGATAAATTAGCTCCAAAATCATTTCTTAGGATACGGTATGCTAGTATCAGATCACCCCTAAGTCGTCTGTATGACAGGGGAAATAAACCCAGTCGACTTAACCTCTCCTCATATGACACGGTTGAGAAACCCTTTATTAGCTTAGTTCCTACTCTTTGCACCCTTTCTAATAAGTCTATTTCGTATTTGAAACACGGGCTCGCTGCCTGGATCCCATATTCCAAATGAGGTCTGATATAAGTCGGATATAATATACGAAATATATCAGCGTCAAAGTTCGCAAAAGCCTTGCGTATGGCCCATAACATTCGAAAACCCTTAATGGCTGCAGTTCTACAGTTTGTTGCTGTTTTCAAGTCATGCTGCACAACCACTCCCAATTCCTTGTACTCAGTGACCACTGGGAGAGTAATGCCGTTCATTGAGTAATTGTGCACGTGACTATGAGATACATGCATAACTACACTCTTGCTTAAGTTAATCTCCAAGGCCCAGTGCATACACCAATCACTTAACAAGTTTAAATCTTCCTGCAAAGCAAGTTGATCACTGTCATCGTGCAAAGCCCTCCATATCTTGATGTCATCAGCAAACAGTAAGCAGGATGACTTAACTACCGATGGAATCTCATTAACATAAATCAGGAAAAGAAGTGGGCCTAGAATTGTACCCTGAGGAACGCCACTCTTAACCGATTCCCATGTTGATAAAACCCCGTTAACTCGTACTCTTTGTCTTCTGTCCTTTAGAAAGTCTTGAATCCAGTCGGTAACCACTTTATTGATTCCCAGACTACCTAACTTTACTAGAAGACCTGAATGAGAAACCCTGTCAAACGCCTTGCTAAGGTCTATGAATATGGCATCCACCGGTATATTAGCATCAGCTGAGCTTGCCCAACTTTCTCTGGCCCAAAGAAGGTTGGTCAACCAAGAATGACCTGCTCTAAAACCGTGCTGTTCCACAGCGAAAAGTTTGTTCCCTTCAATGAACTGAATGATAGCATCACGAATTATTCTTTCTAGTGGTTTAACAACAACACTGGTCAAACTAACAGGACGATAGTTCTGAACTAAGTTTCTGGATCCGGTTTTGATGACCGGACTAATGATGGCATCTTTCCAGTCTCTTGGACATTTAGACTGGTCCAGAGACATATTGAAGATTACCGACAATGGCTCGTCTATGCTTTCAGCCAACGCTGTTAATATACGTGGGTGGAGTTCATCAGGGCCACTGGACTTACCAGGATTGAGCCTTAGAAGCCCCTTTAGGACAGTATCCTTCCCAATGTATAAGGGTGCCATTTTCAAGTTACCTTTTGGAAAATTTACAAAGCTGGTATCAATATTATCAGAGAATACTTGACTAAAGTGCTTGGACAAAGCCTCAGCCTTAGTCAAGTTATCCTCAGCCATGTTTGTCTGGTCATCTTCAAGCATAAGAGGTGGGATAGCATCACTCTTACGTGTTCTTCTCTTGATATTTGAGAAGAGTCTTTTTGGGCAGCCTGGTGAACTTTTAACTAACTGGGTTTCGTATGCTATCCTTGACTGGTGGATCAAAGTTTTACACTGGTTTCTGGTTTCACAGTATTTCAGCCGGAACTGCTGTAGCCCAGTAGAAACAAAGAGATTCCAGAACCTTTTTCTCCGTCTTAGGAGTGTTATAGCTTGTCTATTTATCCATGGTGGCCGATTTGTTGGCCTTTTAGGAACCCTCCAGGGGTTGAGATTAGTGGTAACCCTCTCAAGTGTATTCTTAAATCTATTCCATTCATCTTCAATGGATGACACAATGTTGACTGACCGGTCGGCAGTTGAAGCACGCTCCTTTATAGCCACTATGTCAGCATGCCAAACACTAGGCCGGGATTTGGGTTGAAAAGTGACTAAATTGCCAGCCCTTAAGTTAAAATCTAACACCCCATGATCACTGTTTGCTAGAGGTGGATGAATAACTAGACCATCCACGTTGTCGTTGTCATGAGTAAGCACTAAGTCCAGCAAGGAAGATCCTTGGGTAGAACCGAATCTTGTACTACCTTAGACATGTTGTGTCAGGGCATTTTCCATGGTAGTCAAGAGTAACCGGCTGTCAAACTTATCAGCAGATCCTGGAGATGTGACAGCTACCCAGTCTATATGAGGTGCATTAAAATCACCTAGAATAAGACAGCTACTGTGTTTACCCCATTGTTTGAGGTGATCTAAAACGAAGTCATCATGGATTATTGAGCTTTCCATCTCACCAATCTCTGTTCTCACGTGAGCAATTGTTTAGTCAAGTGCGACTGCTGCCTATGGAAACTTCTCATCGGCATCAGATATTCAAATGCCTAGTCTCACAGTTTTGTGAAGGAAAACATGGTTGTGACCGGAATAATAGGCAGTATCTATTTTACGACGTCATATACATCCAATCGATTTCTCCACACATGCCCCTTGTTTGAAGTGGTTCGCTTCAAAATCACGGCATTCATGTAATGGTGTCTAGTCCTGCATGACGTTATACACCATGGAAAATCACATTTGTCTTGCTTTGGTTTCAATACACCTGTACACGCAGAACGCAATCGGCCAATTGAGGTTTGAATTTCCTCAAGCATTTGATTTTGTTCTAGGGGCCCAGAGGAATTCTGTAATCATATCAGACCTTACATTTGACTGTTTTGAAGGTGTTCTTGCCACTCTTTTGCGCAAATGGAACACCTGCCTCAAAGTTTCTTATACTGTGAACGAAGACCTCTCGCTTTGTCCCTAATCCTCACACCTTGGTCTTCCAAAAGTTTAGTTCTTTCTTGCGGTCGGATTGATAAAAATTACGATTATACTTTGGAAAGAAAACTGATTTTGACGATTGGTAAAAGTCCCCTTTGCCGTAATAAAAAAGAACCGTCGGGCAGAAATAAAGTCAGAGGGCTTATTTTAGTGGCAAATACCCCATAAATGTTTCAAAATCCAAAACTGGATGCCGGCTTTCACTGTTTCGGTTGGATGGTTAAGCTGGAGATATCTACCCCATTCGGTGTGATGTTCTGTACTTTCAGTTGTCGTTGCATCTAATTTCGCTGGCTAAGCAAGTGTCAAAATGGGAGTCCTGTAATTATATTCCGCCCTAACATATAATGTGAAGAGAAAATCAGATACCTCCCTGGGCCCGGAATATATTTCGTATGTCACATTTTCAGTCTTCTGTTTTCATTTGGTTCACGAATATTTTTACGGTCAGATTATAGGCACAATATAATTAGAAGGATATGTGCTTGCATTTGCGCACAGTGCTCCTTGGGTGCTCGTCGATATCCTTCATTTTTAAAGTCTACTGAAAAAGAAAGGAATGGCCTGGCACAAATGAAGACACTCGGTAAATAATTAAACCGCACAGCATACCCAGCTCTAAATAATTGGTGCACCCCAAAAGTTCGTTGGACTAATGAAGGATATCAGGTAAGGAATGGCAAATCAACTTCAAAAGCTTTACCCACTTATGGGCCGAAACAGCTTATCTTTATATTTCAAGATGGAGATACAGGGATGAATGTAAAGAATTCAGCGGTGAATTGGACAGAGGTGTGAAGCGACTGTGATACACCTGTCAAAGTAGTTGAAGATTGAACGATCAATTCATGGTTTTTTGCTCAAACCCAACTAGTCCATATTTTTCGAGGGAGTCATCGATAGTGCAGTCATCGTCTCATCGTTCGCTGTTCAGTAGAAGATAAAAAACTATCAGAAACCTTGTGTATAATAACCTTATTGTTTGTTACGCACAGGCGTAATGATAAAGGATTCTCGAGTCGCCAATCTCTGTTCTGGTTTTTTCGCGTTTGTCACTACAAAGTGTTTCTGAAAGTCTTCCAGGGACAGCATGAGGTCCAGCGTAGTAAGAGCTGGACATTGACAGTTTCTGAGAGTTGGCTGACAGCACTCATCTTGACAACGCCTGGTAAAACCTGACATCTTAAGAATTTGTCGTCGAGAGATGGATTAGTGCATGGTTCCGGAACAGCTAAAGTTGTCCTGTCCCTCTCTTATGTTTTGCAGGATAAGGTTTTTTTGCACACGGTGCAACCTGCATTCTGCAGCATAAAGGTGCGTCATTGCACCCGCTACTTTCCACTACTCCAGGTTGAGAGCCACACTCTTCACCACCGCTTAGTCCTCCACAAGCTTTAGGTCTGCCTGTAGCCTATCTGAGTCTCCCGAACATTTTATTACTCTCCATATCCTTACACTTACAGAGTAAAGAAGAGTCGGGCAGCTTAGACGGCATGGTGGGTCATTGATAAAAATAGAAAACATAGTGGCCCTAATATAGAACTTTGGAGCACTTCTCGTAAGGAAAGGGTCCCAAGATGATAGGGCTTGACTGATCTTACAACAGAATTTCTTTTCAGCTGGATAGTCCTTCAATCATAACAAAATCGGCTCCCCTACACCTGCATGGCTTACTTTGTGTAGGATTAGGTCACGGTGAACTTCATCAGATGCCTTCTCAAAGTCTGGGATTCTCATACCCCACCACGATGTCCAATCGCAGGACCTGCCTCTTCGGAAACCATGTTGTGCTTCATCGAGTCTATTGGTCCTGTCAAGGTGTTTCCTAATGTGATTATCAATCATATTTTCTAGCACTTTTGATATCACTAGGAGTAGCGTCACCGGTGCATGACCGAGGCATTTGGCCTGTCCTCATCCCTGAAAATGGGAGGTGTGGCTGTTTTCCACTCCCTTGGTAGTTTCTCTGAATCCACTGAGTGTTGGAACAGGTCTGATGTTATCACAACCTGATAACTTTTAGACGTGAATCTCTGTAGCTTCCCCAGCGCTACTACAGGGTTTATTTGGAGAGTAACCATTAGGTTTTCCTTCGGTGGAATAGTAGTGCCGCTCTTTTGGTCCCACATTGCTGTTTAACAGTTTGGCGGTGACCAAACTGAATATTTCAGCCATTTCCTGACTCTTGGAATATTGTCTGTTCGGACCTGCTAAGGCCCATGTCTCCCGGTTGTTTGGTTTTCCCTCCGACATGAATCGACAAAGGCATTCGGGGTCGTAGATTTTCCCTTGGATTTAGGTAGGACACTTAGGTGACCATGGCTGTCATTCTCAGTGTCGCATCACTGTAGTGCCACTGGGGCATGGGGATGTATTGTCCTCAGTTTTCTGCCTACTTATGGTTCGGGGTCTACTTTCGCAGTATGGGATATGTTCTCTCATTTTATTTGTGCTCTCGTACCACCGTTGAAGCACTATGGTCCACTGTTCCTGAGGGCCGAATTTGACACCTGATAGCCTTTGATTTATGTGGTAGTAGGTAATTCCATATTAGTTTGTCTATTAGATATCTCACAGTGAAACATTATTACTTACCGGGTCCCAGTGGCTGAATGGTCGTCTTGTAGCCGGAAGGTCCTGGGTTAGAACCCCAGTGGGCATGTACTGCCGATGATTCCCAAACTAGAGTGGAGCAGCTATCCAGTACTCTCTAGTTTTATTGGTTTTCTTAACCTATATTCAGTAAATCATACTGTTTCATTGTGTGATGTATCCAGCAAGCACACTAATATGGAATTTAGTGTCCTTGGGGAGCTAATCAATGTGAAGTGAGCGGTACGAAGTGGCCGGAAAATCGAGATTGTTCCAAAGGCATCAAGAGCGATCTGAGATGACAACTATCTCCATTGTTGTACACCATGCATGCTTTTTTCACAAGCAGTACAGGTTTCCAGCTCCGGACACCGTGTGTAAACATGCAGGTAGAAGACATCAGTTCCGGTGACTCCCTCTTCATTTGCTTGTTGGCCAAGTGCCTATCATGCCCTATTCTTACGCTGGAACTCCTGTCAATAGCTAATATTTAATCCAGTAACAGTATTCTTTCAGCCTCTTCGGAATAACTCAGTTTAACCCTTAATAATAATATATTTATTCCTAACTATGTAGGAATAAATATGAAGGTGGGGTATATTGAGGTGACTGAACACCCCCGTACAGTCCGCATAATCTCGCTGAATTGATATCCACCCCTAATTTACTGCGCAAATCAGATCACTGTTCCTGATTAAACATGGCCCTTTATTCAAGCAGACTGCTGTTGTACATCGGTACATTAAACAGGGTAAGGAAGTCCGATCGACTGACTTCAGATTTAGGTTTGCCTTTGGCCACTTTTCCTCCTTTGTAGAGTCAGTTAATTTAGACTTCATCGGGATCTGACTAGTCCTTGCTATTTTGCCATGCTTGCTGGGGGATGCAAGTGTTGCTTTGGCAATTTAATCTTCCGCTGCTGTTCCAGGTGTAACCTTGGGTGAAATGGGTTTACGAAGAATGATAAATCCAGTAGAATGGACCGGAGTATCCTTCTTATGGCTTTTACCAAGTGTTGGTGGTGTGGTATTATCAGGTGGAGCGCTGCACGAGACTGTGTCGAAACAGAAAAGTGGCGTGCTGTTTCTGTTATCCGGAGCAACGCTGTGTAAGATGGTGCCAGGGCGACAAAGTGGGCAAATGTACCAGAACCGTGTGCACTGGTTATTTGGTATAAGCTGATAACATGGCTTTGGCACCACTTAGTCACGACGGTAGTGCACCCATCGCTTGCAAAAATTGCATATGAATGCTGAGTCGTCTTTAGAAACAACACTACTATGCATCTGGTATTCGTCTCCCACTCTAGAAGACGCTTTCGACGTCTTATGACACCTTGAGCGTTCCCTTTTTGTTTTACTGTGACACACACTGGGGTTCTGCGGATATATGTGCTGTATTATGCCCTCTTAGCTTTGCTTGTGCAGTTTTAGTGCTGGACGTTGGTAATGTAGGCAAAGCATCAGAGCAGGGGATATGTACATGGGTCTTAAGAACCAGCATGCGAGATGGGGTTAATATCCCTGGGTTATTTCCTGCTATTAGTACTTTTTTGAGACTGGTTTCTACCGCCATGTTAGAAATCACTATAACTTATGCTTATATATGAATAAGAGATAGTGAAAGTTTCTAGCCAATAGAACATGAGCAAGAAGTTTGATAAAATAAGAGATTAGGATAGTAAAAGTTTCTCAACTTTACTTAGTACTTTAACGCTACTTGGTTTCTCAGCAGTCACGTGGTAGACCAAAAGGTCTTGTTTGTCAGAAAGATTAAGGAAGATGCTCCTACATATATAGCTCCTGAAGCTTTGGCAACAGTTCGAGACAACTGGACTTACCATGCATAGATTTAGTGTGGAATTATTAGTTGAATGTGATCCACCTAGGAAGATCAGATTCCCCAGTCCGATAATTCACCAAATAGGTATTTTCTGGTTAGAGATGTGAAAGCACATTGTATTCAAGGAATGCAATTATTAATCAGTTCAGTGTGCTGAAGCTGCATGCGTCACACTGAACAAGCTGCATCAGTGCCAGGTGGCAGAAAACAGGCACTGAGGGAGTGGAAGCATCCTACTGTATCTACTATTTTCTTTAACACGAAATCCGATGAAATCCCAAGGGCTACAGACGTGCAGGTGTGCTCGTATCTGCATTAGACGTGATAGGAGGCCTACCGGACGATGATATGGAGGAACATATGCGAAAACATACGGAATCGGGCTGAATATGGTCTCAGAAAAGATTGGTTCTGAGCTGCTAACTCTCCTGCAGCTTAATATAGCCAAGGAAGATGCTGCGGCCAGAACATTGTGGTCCGAGTGTTGTTCACAGATCTAAACATCGCTTATGACTTCTTGTCGCACGAAGTAGTTCTAAGGGGAGTCTCCAAAATGAAAGTCATCGCCCCACTGCCATTCTAAAGGGTAGGTAATTTTGTACGTAAGCGGACTATGCATACGTTGCGTGGGGCGTATCAGTCAGGGATTTTATACAGAGGCTACTCTTGATCCACTGTTTCCTTGGTTTTCACATAGGGTTTGCCACAAATCAGGTTCTCCAGAACGTTCCTATGATGAGGATGTAAACCTAGGAGTGGCTTGACTACGCAAACCACCTAAGTGGGATGTAAATGTCCAGGTCTAACTACACTGGACTTCACACTGTCCTTAGAAGACTTTCAGGAACTATGCTCAGTAATCAACGCAAAAAACCAGAACACAAACTGGCGACTCAAGAACCCTTTATTCTTGCACCAATACAGAGCCAACCACTAGGTTATTGTACACAAAGTCTAAGAATGAATGTCATAACAATAAATCACAATAATACTTCTCACAGTTTTTCCCTGTCTTCCAACGAACAGCGAACGATGAGACGATGACTGCTGGATTGATGACTCCCGAAAAAATACGGGAAAGCTGGGTTTGAGCAAACAACTATGAATTGATCGTTCAGTCTTCAACTACATTGACATGGGGACTTCATTGGAAAGTCACTGCGGTAAACTTTGGGTTAACCATAGCAGGGTGCTCACTTGAGGAAGCCAAGACCTGGATTAAAAGGAGGCAAGGGCCCCTAGAAAATTTTGCCGTCTGATAAGTGTTCCTTTGTGTGCGTCGGTGGCACAGTAGTTAGGACTTTCGCCGAACATGAACATGGTCCAAGGTCCGATCCCCTGCCGATGCACACCTTATATCTACGGTCAGCCTGCAAAATTTGGGCTACCGATATCCATGCTGAAAATTTTATACTTGTACCAAAAGTACAGTGTGGAATCAAGCTGTAATCAAAAATAAAAAATAAATTAGCCCCTAATGAGAGGTCACAGCATTACATTTACCGGTGACTTCTGCTGACAGTTGTCTTGTGGGTTGGGCCAGCAGCTGAAATCATTTAGAAAGCCGCTGGAATACCAGGTAATACCGAACAGCTGCTAGTCCCTGATTTCGGGCTCACCATCAGTACGTACCCACCAGAGAGTGTGTGATCAGGCCGGTGACCAAACATGTCTTTGCAAACCAGCACTTGATGAGGAGTTTTGTGGCCTCATGGATTTCCGTAGTTAAGTGTTGAGATATCTCATTTCCAAAACATTTTCGAACTCCTCTAACTCGCTTTATTGCTCTTTGTTGCACCTTTAACGAATCGATGAATCACTGGGTCACCAGGTTGATTACATTGAGGGTTTATGCAATCTTTGCAAAGATGCGTCTGTAGTTGGAACACCTTTCGCTTCTTAAAGTAAGGAGACGTTAAAATGACATCCTTCCAATCTTCTCGTTCATTCAGGTTTCTCCTGAGCTTTCTTGAATCATTCATGCTTCTTTTTACTCCTGAGGCCCTTACGCGGTCGGTACACTGTGGTGCTGTGTGGCTCCAGCCGTATTAGAAGAACAGTGTGAACACTGCATATCTCTGAATAAATCCACCGATAAACCCCAAAGATCCGGCTACAATACCGTGAGCAGGACCAGCTGTTTTTATGTAGAACTCCCATCTAATTCGGCAATCTGGAAACCACGAGAGGGGAAGACATCTAGTGTTTTCTGGCAGTAAGTTCGTTGCTTTCACCTTAGTTCTATCTTATGTAGTTGTTAATTAGACTTTCTATTACATTTGGTAATATCAGTGGTCTCAGCTTAGAGGGATAAGTGCTTATACTGTTTGAAGGACTATGAGCTCATTTACCTACAAGCTGGGAACGATGTTATTTGACCTCCAAGTGACAACATTTTCTGCTTCTTCCTTTCCATAGAAAGATATGTAGGAGAAAGCTTAGTTAATCTGGTTTATGGTTTTGATCTCGTTTTCTTGTTGGAAGCAAAATTAACGGCCTTTATATGGCCATGTATCTTACTAAACATGTGTTTCGGCAGCAGTTGACTCCTTAGCCTGATCCACCTAACTTGGTGGTGTTGCAAATGCCTAACCGTCATTATTATTTATTGTTATTATTCTCTTAGGTTCAGAGTGGATAACAGGGGATCAACAGCACGTCTCTCTTTCCCCCTGTTCTTTGCTTTCCTCTTCAACTGGCTCCATACCTGCTCATAAGCTCTTATCGTTGTATCTTGTTTCAGTTCCACTCAAGATTGTATCTGGCACGTGATGTCATCCAACAGTCTCCAGAGTGTGCCAGATCCATCTCCATTTTCTTATACGTGTATGGCGAGAATGTGGAGAGCCCATAAATACTACAAAGCCCTTCAGAACCTCCTCCGTTTAGCTCTCTGAGGTCTTTAAGTCATGATTTACAGTCACTGCTAAATCCATACGGCTTGTAGCTATTAACAGAGTGGAACCATTTATTGTGTACCTTGTTATGAGCGACGACCATGGCTATACCATCGTTTGTACTGATTTATAGGGAGCGTCCATTACAACACGCAACTAATAAGTCCGAAGCACAGCAAGGTGATCACTACTATTCACTGCGGTTTCAATAAGGAAAGGATCCTCCAATTCCTACTCCCCGTTTTCTATTCTGAATGAGGTATTAAATATAGTTTTTCACCATCCCAATATTTCCAAAGTTACGTGTTTTCATTAGAAGATCAGGACGATTAAGTCTTATAATAATGCTGGTCAAAGTCAGAAAACACTGCAATCACCCGAGTACTGGTGTGAAGAGCGTTGGACCAAATCTCAACTGTGCAGAGAATCTTGATTGAACAACAATAGCCTGCACAGAAACCATTCTAGTTTCCGATCAGATGTTTATTACACTCATTATGCTAAATAACAGGAGCAAGATTGATTGCATAGTTCATAGTTTAGCATTAGAGTTTAACAATGATACCCGTTCGAACCATATTTTTAGCACTAGAAATCTGTGTATTATATCTTTACACTTACATTCATTATGACTTGTTTCAAAACCAAAGGCCTTCGTTCAAGTGGTGGCCGTCTAACTAGTCAACTTTCTCCGTTAAGTCTTTATTGCTCACGGCCCTTGTATTATCATTCTACGGTTCTAACCATGAGAGCAGTTAAAACCTTTGGATCATATGTTGCAATTTACTACACCGTCGACTTATATGCTACGATGTGCTACTATGGAGTGGCTTTTGTTTATTTTCGCTGGCTGTTTCGTAGATATTTCCCTCATATCTGAAAGGCATACTGTGGCCGTCTATTTCATATTGCCTTGATAAGCCTTTTCTTTAAAAACACTGTGAAAGACGAAGCATGTAAAAGCATATGCTAAAAGCGGCAGCTGATACCATGAACTTCAATGAGCGTTAAAGCATGTGGCTCATGGAGCATGTAGTCACATTATTATTATATTTATTATTGCTCCCTTGGGTTCCTAGTGGAACATAGGGCTTCAACTGCACGTCTGCATTTTCTTCTGTCTTCTGCTATAATTTTCGCCTGCATCCATGTTAATCCATATTTTTTCAACTCCTCTTCACACGATCTCCTCCATGTCACCCTTGGACATCCCACACGCCGCTTCCCTTTCGGGTTCCGCTCGAGGGCTTGGCGCGCGATGTCACCCAGCGGTCTCCTCAGCGAGTGTCCGATCCATCTCCACTTTCTCCTGCATATTTGTTGGGCGATTGGTTCTTGCTTTGTTTGTTCCCATAATTCCTTGTTGGTGATTCTTTCCGGCCCGGCCATCTGATCTTCAGTATTGAGCGAAGACAGTTGTTAATAAAGGTCTGCAGCCTTTTGGAAATATTCTTTGTGACCCGCCAAGTTTCTGATCCGTATAGAAGAACTGACTTTACGTTTGCATTGAAAATCCGAATTTTGTTGGGGATGCTGAGTGACGAAGATTTCCAGATTGATTTTAGGCTGATGATTGTGTTTCTTGCCTTCCCGATTCTCGATTTGACATCCTCGTCCGTTCCGACTTCCTGTAGTTGAGACAATGCTGAATGCTAGATAAGTGAATGAAGTAACCTCTTTCAAATCCCTCCCGTTGATGGTGATTGACGTTGGATGTTGTTGCTGTTGTTGGTTGGTTATTTTCATAACCTCCGTCTTGTCTATGTTTACCTGCAGTTCTGTCTTTGCTGCTTCTTCGACCAGTTTGTCGGTTGATTTTTCCTTGTAAGTCTTCGATTGTGTATGACATCAAACATAAGTCATCCGCGAAATCCAGGTCTTCTAGGTTCTTCACGTCGGTCGGTTCAGGATATTCCTGTCTTCTTGTTTCCCACTCACTGTCTGACGCATAATCCAGTCAGTCCACCACAGTTAGGAATATCATTGGTGATAATAAGCACCCTTGTCTCACTCCTGTGTTTACTCCAAACGCCTCGCTGAGTTTTCCGTTGTGGATGACTTGACATGTTCCGTTGTTGTACAGTTGTTGAATAAGGTTGATGAA